GGATGGACATGTCGTCTGAGGAATGGGAGGGGGAGTTGAAATAGTTCGCGACTGGGAGGTGCAGTTGTTTATTGCGAACCAAGCGTAGGTGTTCTGCAAAGCAGTCCCCGAGTCTCCGCTTGGTTTCCCCGATGTAGAGGAAGCCACACCGGGTACAGCGGATGCAGTATACCACATTGGCAGATGTGCAGGTGAACATCTGCTTGATGTGGAAAGTCTTCTTGGGGCCTGGGATGGGGGTGAGGGAGGAGGTATGGGGACAGGTGTCGCACTTCCTGCGGTTGCAGGGAAAAGTGCCGGGTGTGGTGGAGCTGGAGGGGTGTGTGGACCGGACAAGGGAGTCACGGAGAGAGTGGTCCCTCCGGAAAGTAGATAAGGGTGGGGAGGGAAAGATGTCTTTGGTGGTGGGGTCGGATTGCAGATGGCGGAAGTGTCGGAGGATGATGCGTTCGATCCAGAGGTTGGTGGGGTGGTACGTGAGGACGAGGGGGATTCTTTTTTGGTTCTTATTGCGTGGAAGGGGTGTGAGGGATGAGTTGCGGGAGATGTGGGAGACACGGTTGAGGGCGTTCTCAACCACTGAGGGGGGGAAGTTACGGTCCTTGAAAAACGAGGACAACTGAGATGTACGGCAGTGAAATGCCTCATCCTGGGAGCAGATGCGGCGGAGGCGAAGGAATTGGGAATAGGGGATGGCATTTTTGCAGGAAGGTGGGTGGGAGGAGGAGTATTCTAGGTAGCTGTGGGAGTCGGTGGGCTTGAAATGAATATCGGTTTCTAGGTGGTTGCCCGATATGGAGACAGAGAGGTCCAGGAAGGGGAGAGAGGTGTTAGAGATGGTCCAGGTAAACTTAAGGTTGGGGTGGAAGGTGTTAGTGAAGTGGATGAACTGTTCGAGCTCCTCGTGGGAGCATGAGGCGGCACCGATACAGTCATCAATGTAACGGAGGAAGAGGTGGTGTTTAGGGCCGGTGTAGGTACAGAAGAGAGATTGTTCCACGTAACCTACAAAGAGGCAGGCGTAGCTTGGGCCCATGCGGGTACCCATGGCCACCCCCTTTGTCTGTAGGAAGTGGGAGGAATTGAAAGAGAAGTTGTTGAGGGTGAGGACGAGTTCGGCTAAGGTGATGAGGGTGTCAGTGGAGGGGGACTGGTCGGGCCTGCGGGACAGGAAGAAGCGGAGGGCCTTTAGGCCATCTGCATGGGGAATGCAGGTGTAGAGGGACTGGACGTCCATGGTAAAGATGAGGTGTTGGGGACCGGGGAATTGGAAGTTCTGGAGGAGGTGGAGGGCATGGGTGGTGTCACAGACATAGGTAGGGAGTTCCTGGACGAAGGGGGAGAAAATGGAGTCCAGATAGTTGGAGATCAGTTCGGTGGGACAGGAGCAGGCGGAGACAATGGGTCGACCAGGGCATTCAGGTTTGTGGATTTTGGGAAGGAGATGGAAGCGGGCAGTGCGAGGTTGGGGAACGATGAGGTTGGAGGCTGTGGTTGGGAGGTCACCTGAGGTGATGAGGTTGTGGATGGTTTGGGAGATGATGGTTTGGTGCTCAGGGGTGGGGTCATGATCAAGGGGGCGGTAGGAGGAGGTGTTGGAGAGTTGGCGTCTGGCCTCGGCGATGTAGAGGTCAGTGCGCCATACTACAACTGCGTCTCCCTTGTCCGCGGTTTTATGGTGAGGTTGGGATTGGAGCGGAGGGAGCGGAGGGCTGCACGTTCTGCGGGGGAGAGGTTGGAGTGGGTGAGAGGGGTGGAGAGGTTGAGGCGATTGATGTCTCGACGGCAGTTGGAGATGAAGAGATCGAGGGAGGGTAGGAGGCCTTGGGGTGGTGTCCAGGAGGAGAGGGTGTGTTGGAAGCGGGAGAAGGGGTCAGTAGAGGGAGGGTTAGGTTCACAGTTGAAGAAGTAAGCGTGGAGGCGGAGGCGGCCCAGATGTGGTCTCCCCAGCACCTTGTACAATTGCTGTAAGACTTCCCTGCTCTTATACTCCAACCCCTTTGAAATAAGGGCCAACATTCCCTGCACCTTCCTGATTACCTGCTGTACCTGTGTACTAGCTTTCTGGGTTTTGTGCACAAACATCCCCCAAATCCCTTTATGCTGCAGCTTTCTGCAGTTTTAAATAATACTGTTCCTTTGCTCTCCCTTCCAAAATGAACAACTTCACATTTTCCCACATTATATTCCATTTACCAACTCTTGCCCACTTACTTAACCCATCAATATCTCTCTATAAATTATTTGTATCCCTCTTGCAACTTGCCTTTCCACCTATTTATGTGTTGTCTGCAAATTTGGCTTCCTCCCAGTCATTCATATATGTTGTTAACAGCTGTGGTCCCAGCACTGATCCATGTAGAACCCACTGGTTACAGGTCACCAACCTGAATTAGATCCCCTTATCTCCACTCGCTACTTCCTGCCCATGAGCCAATTCTCTTTCCACACTAATACACTGTCTCCAACACTGTGGGGTCTTTTGACTTAATCTTTTCTAAGGTACCTTGTCGAACACGTTCTGGAATTCCAAATACAACACATTAACTGGTTCCCCTCTACCCACTCTGGCTGAGACTTCCTCAAAAAACTCTAATAAATTAGAGTCAGACATGATTTCCCTTTCATGAAGCCTTGCTGACTCTGCTTGATTAGGTTGTGATTTTCCAAATGTTCTGCTATTTCTTCCTTAATAATTGATTCCAATACTTTTCCAACAATAGATGTTAGGCTAATTGGCCTGTAATTACCCATTGTGGCTGGTTCGTTCACCAAGCTGGTTCATTAGTTCACTGATATTTCATTACCCTGCTGGGTAACATTGTCAGTGCAGCTTCTGATGCAGCGCTGTTGTGTTTTCCCGCCTGGTACTTAAACTCTGGGGTCCGTTGGATTTGATTACCTCATTTCCAGTTTTTCTTTGAAGTGATGTGTATATAGGGTCTAATTCTGTGTGTTTATTGATGGCCTTTTTGGTGAACCCACAGTAATTCTGTTAAACCTGTGAAGTTTGAGCCATCAGGTACTCACCAGCATAAGGCAGCAGCGACCAGACATGGACTTGTCACTGCAAAGAGGAGCCAGCGCCAGTCCCTGATGAGATATGCAATGAGAGCCAGCAGCATGTTACCAACGCTCCACATTGGACTGGGAATGATGGCCATTGCGGCTCGATGTTCCACATCAGTCCACTCGACAGCTGGAACAGGCCAGGCATGTGAGTTAGCAGGAAGCAGGATTCAGAAAGGCGTTGTGACACAGAAGGGTTAGTAATTCAGCCTACCCATATCCATCTCAACAAATCCAATCACAGCCACAGTCTCCTGCACTCTCCCCACAGCTTTACAGATTTCACTCCTTCAAATGACCATCGACTTCCTTTCATTGATGGTCTCTGTATCCAGCCCCCTTGTAGATGAGTTCATCACACTAACATTTCCTTCCTCACATTCTGTCACAAAGACTCACTCTCTCTGCTTACTGCCTTTGGCCAATCTGTGGTCACTCTCTCTGCTCACTCTCTGTGGTCAATCTCACTCCTTCTCTGTCTGGTCACTCCCTGTCTGGTTACTCTGTCTGGTCACTCCCTGTCTGGTCACTGTCTCCGGTCACAGTCTCTGTATCTCTGGTCACTCTTTGGAGCTACTCAGTCTCTCAGATGATTGTCCTGCCACCTCTCTGGCCGTGCCCTCCACCCCCCACCCCCCCCCCCCCCCCCCCCCCTCGCCCCCCCCCCCCCCCCCCCCCACTGTCCACCCACAGCCTGCTGACACCTCCTGCTATCATGAGGAAGCTGTTGGAGTGTTCTGGCTGGTTAAGGCTGGAGACTGGGTCCCAGTTAGTCCCTGTTGCCTGAGCCTGTACTCCTGTGAAAGGCTTACACAGCGTGATGGAGATGATGGAAATCCCAGTTAAACCGACACCACAGAGCATCCTGAACACAACAAACATTGGATACGAGGTCGAGAAGGAGGCCAAAGTCCCAGCTACCATTGTGAACAGGAAGGCAAGGAGAAGGGTTTTCCTGCGACCAAACCTGAGGGAATAAACACACGGCAGTGATTTGCCAGGGTCCAGAAACACTTGATCAAACACAGTTATGTAGCCCTGATTAAACCCACAGGGACCCCTCTTCTCATGGCGTGACTGCTCAATGCCCCGCTCCTGTCCACTGTCCAGCCCCAGCTCATAGGCAACCTCAATGGCCCAGTGTGCAGGTGCTGCCAGGTAAAAACCTTCCCTTGGAAAGGTGGCTGCCTTTAAGGTGTACCATAGACTTCCCAAATTTCACTCCATGAACAGGGATCAACCAGATGTTGGGATGGGCTTCACAGCTGAACCTCCTCAGTTCCAGTCCGTATCAAACGTCAAGCCTGAGTCCCAGCAGCCACGGGACTGCAGGACGATAGCAGTGAACCTGTTTGGAGAGGTGGAACTGTCATGGGATTGTCACAGTACTCATAATCCAGAGCCCAGACTCGTGTACTGGGAATCAGTGGAAGTTCCAGAAATCATTGCCTCTGATCTCCACATAAATACTGAAAACTGAACTGTTACCCTGATCCATAGGCCTAGATCTAACTGACCTGCCACCACTCTGTAGCTGACATGAATGTGATCTTGATGACAGGAAACCAAAGGAACTGTGCAAAGTCAACTCATTGTTCCCTTTTAGTTTAGACACTTGATCCGTTTGGGGATTTTTCATCCTATGTTTTCATACTTGTATTACACTGGCAGAACTATGTCTTATCCTGTCTCTGTATGAATTTATGTTAGGATTAAGGAAAATAGTTTCATTCTGAATTGTAGCTTAGCTGGTATCCACTTTGACCACTTGTCGGAAGAATAGGGTTGTTTTGAACAAACTAGTGTTGCTTATTTAGTTGAAGAAATCTGGTGAAAATCTCTGGTTCTGGCTAAAGAAAATCAAATGGACTGTTTTTTTGGTGATTAAGGGAGATATTTACACTTTTGATACAGATAGCGGGGTTTGATTTTCAGCACCTTCTTCCTCTTGGAGCCATACCAACACTCAGGAGCCTAGTGTGGGATGTTTCGATGCAGAAAACACAAGACTGAAAGTGGAGTGTTGTCCATTTGTAAAGGATGAAAAGGCAGATGCCAGGTTTCTCACAGTACAAAACGACGGTGGTCCTGGAAGCAGCTAAAAGATTTGTAGAGTTCGAGCAGATATCCTTGACTGGGTCACAAGATTTAACTGAAGCTAAGCTCTTGGAATTGGTGCAAGTGTTAATGGTGGAGTTTCATGTAAAAGCAAAGATAGGAGGAATAATTCATATATCAGCACAGCATTTGGAACTGGGGAAACACAAGAGCAGCCAAGCACACCAAGTAGTGAGTCGTCAGTGTCAGTTATTGCTGAGTTACAGTTAGAGTGGTTTCAGCAAGAAAAGAAAATGAAACTGCTGGAAACAGAATTCCAAAGTACTAGGGTAAAAAGAAACAAAACAACTGTGAAATTGAAAAGGATGGACATTAAAAAGCTTGAACTAGATCGTCAGAGAGATGAGAAAATGTGAGCGTGTTTGGGAAGCTTGAACTAGAATTGCAAAGGGGAAACAGGAGTGAGATAGTGTTCCCTATCTTTAAAGCCTACCGTTAGAGAAAAGAAGCCTAAGTGAATGTTCATGTTACTATCTTTGCAAGGTAAATCTCTGAAAGCAGAGACCCTGTGGTCTATATATCCTCACACGCTGTTTTCTGTAAAGACAGTATTCCATACTCTCAGTTCCTCCATCTCCATCGCATTTGATGATGCCAACTTTGACAAGGGAACCTCCGAAATGTCCATCTTTTTCCGGAACCAAGGATTCCCCAAAAATGTTGTTGACAGGGCCCTCAACCAGGTCCGACCCATCTCCCACACTTCCGCCCTCACCCTTCTCTTCCCTCCCACAACAGCGATAGCGTTCCCCTTGTCCTTACCTACCATCCCACCAGCATCCACATCTAGAAGATCATCAGGCGCCATTTCCGCCACCACCAGCAAGTTGCCACCACCAGTCACATGTTCCCCTCCCCTCCCTTGTCCGCCTTCCGCAGGGACCATTCCCTCCCCGGGACACCCTGGTCCATACTTCCTTCACCCCCAACACCTCCCCACAGCCCTATGGCACTTTCCCCTGTAACCGGCGAAGGTGCAACACCTGCCCATTTACCTCCTCCCTCCCCAGTATCCAAGGGCCCAAACATACCTTCCAGGTGAAGCAACACTTCACCTGCACTTCCCAGAATCTAGTCTACTGCATTTGCTGCTCACAATGTGGTCTCCTCTACATTGGGGAAACGAAGCATAGACTGGGTGACCACTTCTCAGAACACTTACTTTCTCTACACAAAAAAGACCCAGAGCTACCTGTTGCCTGCCAGTTTAACACACCCCCCTGTTCCCTAGCCAACATCTCTGTCTCTGGCTTACTGCAGTATTCTTGGGGATCTTGCAGCCTTCTGTACTCAATATTAAGTTCAACAACTTTAGGGCTTGAGCTCTCCCATGTCCTTATTCCAATCCCCAGGCCTTGTTATCACATGGTCTGCTATTACATACAACCCATTGTTAGCCATTTAACAGTCTCCACTAATAGCTATTCACCCTCCTAGCCAGATCATTATCAACTCTTTTTTCAGTCCAACTGCTCTTCTCACTCTTTGGGCTGTATCCCCACCTATCGTTTATGCCTTACCCCCTCCCTCCATCCTACCTTCTGCATAAAAACCAACATTTTTCGAGCTACCATCAATTCTGAGGAAGGGTCATTCAATCCGAAACATTAACTCTGATTTCTCTGCACAGATGCTGCCAGATCTGCTGAGCTTCTCCAGCAATTTCTGTTTTTGTTGTCCATGGAGAGAGAGCAGGTTAATGTTTCGAGTCTAGATGAATCGAGTGATCCAGAGGGTAGCCCAGAGTCAGCACAGTGGAATTCTGGAAGACAACACCACAGTCACCACAACTGAGCAGCAGGTCAGGGAGAACCTGGTGTCAAGGTACAGTGGAGCTGGAAAAGCACAGCAGGTCAGACAGCATTGAGGAGCGGGAGAGCCAACATTTTGGGCTGAAACCTTTCAACAGGACTGGGGAGGGGGTGGAGAGCCCAGAAATAAATGTGGGGGTGGAGCTAGTGGAGAGTAGATGAGATGGACTTGGGTGATATGGAGGTAGGTGGATGCAGTTAGGGGGTTATTGTGGTTGGTCAGTGGGAAGGGTGGAGCGGATAGGTGAGTCAGAAGGTGGACAGGTTGGGGCTGGAGAGATTTTGAAGCTAGTGAAGTCAATATTCAGGTCATTGGGCTGTAAGCTCCCAGAGTGAAATATCAGGTGTTGTTCCTTCAGTTTACGTTTGGCCTCACTCTGACAGTGAAGGAGGCCAAGGATGGACATGTCACCAGGGGACTGGGAGGGGGGTGGGAGTTAAAGTGGATGGTAACTGGAAGGTCGGGTTGGTTGGTGCGTGCAGAGAGCACATGATCCACGAACCGGTCCCTGATATAGAGGTGAGCACATCAGGAGCAACAGATACAGTAGATCAGGTTGGATGAATTGCAGGTGAATCTCTGTGGGATCTGGAAGGAATGTTTGGGACCTGGGATGGAGGTGAGAGGGGAGGTGTGGGGGAGGGGTAGCATCTCCTGTGGTTGCAGGAAAGGTACCGGGTGTGGTGGAGAGGTTGGTGGGGATTGTGGAGCTGACAAGGGAGTCGCGGAGTGAACAGTCCCTGCAGAAAGCAGACAGGGGCGGGGAAGGAAAAATGTTGGAGGATATTGCGTTGGATTTGGGGGTTGGTGGGGTGGTATGTGAGGACAAAGAGGACTCTATCCTTATTGTTGTTGGGGAGAGGGGGATTTGAGGGCAGAGTGCGGGAAATGTAGGAGATGCGGTTGAGAGAATTCTTAATAACAGAGGAGGGGAAACTACGGTCCCTAAAGTAGGAGGATGTCTGGGATGTCCTAGAGTAGAACACCTCATCCTGGGAGCAGACGTGGCGAAGGTGGAGGAATTGGGAGAATGGGACAGCATTTGGAAGGAGGGTGGGTGAGAGAAGGTGTAGTCGAGGTAATTATGGGAGTCAGTGGGTTTGAAATGGATGTCAGTGGTGAGTCAGTTAACAGAGCTGGAGACGGAGAGGTCGGGGTAGGGTAGGGAAGCGTCAAAAATGGTCCGGTGAATTGGAGGGCAGGTTGGAAGGTGTTGGTGAAGTTGATGAACTGTTCAAGCTCCTCACGGGAGCATGAGGCAGCACCGATACAGTTATCAATGTAGCGGAGAAAGACGTGAGGGATGGTGCTGTCCTAGTTGTGGAAGAGGGACTGTTCCATGAATCCTGCAAGGAGCAGGCATAGCTCAGGCTCATGCGGGTGCCCATAGCCACCCCTTTGGTTTGTAGGAAGTGGGAGAAATCAAAGGAAAAATTGTTCAGGGTGAGGACCAGTTCCGCCAAGTGGATGAGAGTGTTGGTGGAGGGGGCCTGGGTGGCCCCATGGGAGAGGAAGAAATGGAGGGTTTATAGGCCATCCTCATGGGGGATATAGGTGTGTAGGGACTGAACCTCCACGGTGAAGATGAGGTCTTGGGGGCTGGGGAATTGAAAGTTTTGGAAAAGGTGGATGGTGTGTGTTATGTCCCAAATGGAGGTGAAGAGTTCCTGGATCAAAGGGGAAAGAATGCAGTTGAGGTAGGAGGTGATGAGCTCAATAGGGGCAGGAGCAGGCAGAGACAATGAGTTGACCGGGGCAGTCAGGTTTATGGATCTTGGATAGGAGATAGAAACGGACAGTGCAGGTTTAGGGAACTGTCAGGTTGGAGGTTGTAGACAGGAGATCTCCGAAGATGATGAAGTTGTTAACGGTCTGGGAAATGATGGCTTGGCGATCAGAGGTGGGGTCGTGATCGAGGGGTCAGTAGGAGGAGGTATCAGAGAGTTGGTGTCTGGCTCAGCGATGTAGAGGTCATTTCGCCATACTACTATTGTAAACCCCTTGTAGGTGGGTTTAATGGTGAGGTTAGGGTTGGAG